AAAGCTACGTTTGAATTTATAAAAATTCGAAATTTTAATTTTTTAAATGACCTCGGATGGACAAACAACAAAAACAAAAGTTGTAGATCTTAAAAAGTTATGAAACTTTGTAGTTGATAACTTTTTGATTTGAAATCATCTTATCATGGAAAACTACGTTTGAATTTCTTAAATTTGAAATTCAAATTTTGTAAACGACCTCGGATGGAGAAACTACCAAAATGAAAGTTCTAAATCTCGAAAAGTTATAAAACTTTGTAGTTGACAACTATTTCATTTGAATTCATTTAGGGTCCGAAATACTCATTTCAAAATTAGATGAACATAAAATGGCTAGGACAAAAATCTCATTCGGACACAAATAACCTGCAAGTGGAGTGGTTAGGGGCTGAAGACACGACAGGAGGTCAGGGGTTCGAGCCCGGTGGCCACGAAGCGTGTGTTTTTCGCGTGAAAAATTGTGTGACTTGTGACTTGCAATGCCCGACCGTGTGCCCGACCGTGTGTGCATACGTCAAAGCCCTTCAATCATCATCTCGGGTAACCCCGTGACGTGTTGCCGGTCCCCAAACACCGACAAGGGGGTGTGGGGTATTCATATGCTATGAAAGCGGTAACAAGCTATGAGAGCGTTAACCCAGGAGGAGGGGAATAATGTAATACTTGACATCTTAGTGCTTTGTTTTAGGCCCATTGTGTCACTTGTGTTTTGTTCTAGTAAAATCCGGGCACCTCCAATGGTCCGACTTAGAGCTAGCCAGATAATTTTTTTTTGAGAAGTGGATAAATTTTTTGAAGACTGGAGAGTGCAGAATGTAAGAGACTAGGATGGAGCCAAGGATAGTCTCACATGTTTCATGATATACCTCTCTCACAGCGCAATGTTGAAAATTGCTTGCTGTGGTCTCTCTCCTTCACATTTGCCAGCTTAGAGCCGATGCTAATTCATATTGTTGGAGACGCCCTTGTCCCACCTTGATTTGTTTTCGGTGATGGGCTCACGGCTTGTTTTTTGTTTTTTTTGTCAACCGATCAATGGAGTCTGTGATTAACACATACCCTTGCATAGAGATGGGCGCCACCCCTTAAAATCTATAGTATTTGGCCATCTCGGTTAATATTTTAGTAGCAGTGGGGGTGCGGGTCTCGTCGGAACCTAAAAGACTAGTATTGCTAGTACTGGGGAGGAGCACATCGTAGTGATGCCCTAGAGATGTAAATGCTCGTATGAAAATATCATGTCTCCGGTGTTGTTCTATGATCTTACTTGTTCGTCTAGGTAGATTCAATTGTTATGCTTTCACACATGTAGATTAGCGGACTCGTTGGCGCCGAGGAGACTAATTCCTAACACAAGTTCTTACTTTGTCCAAAGCAAAAGAGATTTTGATCCTGGAAGATCCTCTGTTCCCTGTTGGTACTGCATGCGTGCATGAATTTGTCATTTCCCTCCTCACTTCTCCACTATATTTTTCTTGTCAATATAAACAATTGATATTTTTCACAATCATTACTTTAAGCCAAATTTACTGATTTAGCTGAGATCTAATTTTTTTTACAGATTTAGTTACTTTCTAAAATAGATCTGATAAAAAAATACTAGAGTACTCCGATAGACTTAAAAAACATAGACTCTCCATATTTAAAAGTGTCACATCAACAAGATTTTTCGGATCGGCAATGTTTTTTTCACGTGCGGGCTTCGTCATTTGCTCGTCCTGGCTTTTGGCGGACGTCTGTTCAAGGGTATGTGTTCTAATACTAGTACAAAATGATTTGACTAATCTCTTGGAGATGCACTTACTCAATTAATTCGATCTAGCTAGGTTAATCTTGGACCCATGCTACGTGCTTTTTTAGATAAAGCATATAAAATCCGGCCTCTATACCCGCGTGGGAGATATACAGCCAATAATGCAAACCCCTGCTATGTGCTATCTATCTGATGCAAATCCATTTATATGCACACTGCTCAGGAACACGCGCGCATGCAAGCTCTGTCTAGATACACCACTGTGTACCAGCAGGTAGCTAGAATTATTGTTCATAAGTAGTATAGATAGCCTTTAGACGATACATGGATGGAGCCAGCCAGATCGAGCAGCAGACTGAGAATATATAGGCTATAGGTAGGTAGGCTATCTAGAGCCCTAGCCGACGACGGGGGTGAGGGCGACCTTCAGATTGTAGTCTTGGTAGACGAAGAGGCGGACGCGCTTGTCGTCGTAGTCCGGCGGCACCTGCGTGCCGACCACCAGCACCGGGATCTGCACGTCCGGCCTATCCTTGTGGATCATGCATGCGCGTAGTGCCCCGGCGATCCCACCAGCTCCGGCCATGACGTCTTCAGGTCGTCGTCGTACCCCTGCCCCTGCGCCGCCATGTGTCTCAGTCTCTCAGTCTCTCTTCAGGTAGCTGCTGTGTCTGCGCTTGTAGCGAGCTCCGGATGCTTGCTTTGGCTATATATACAGGCCATGCGGCCAAGGCCCTGCAATAATCTGCATGCATGCCTCGATCTTGTCCATACACGCATGGGATTAACCAGCAGCCACATCGCGTTAATCGCCGTCGCTGGGGTTAACACGAAGCCACATCTATCACGTCTCCACGGCATTGCGCATTGGTTGCATTGGGAACTACTCCCAATATAGATGTCCAAATGGGCCAGGCACGATGGGCCGGCACGGGCCTGGCCCAAAAAAGCATAGCACTAACACGGCACGGGCACGAGGCCTATAGTGCCAGTGCCGGCACGGGCACGATGTAGGGCCGTGCCTGGGCCACATGTTCGGCCCGCAATGCTGGCACGGGCACGGCACTGTTAATGGGCCGGCACGATATGGCCTGGTCTTTTCTAGCCATTGGATGATCTCAGGATGTGTTCTGGCCATTGGATGAGAGTATATAAGCACATCCAAACCCTAGCTCAGATATTTCCCAGCACTCTACCAGCCAGTATGTCCAGCAACGGCTCCTCCTCCCAATCCCGTTTTCTCCCCAACTCCCCACGGCGCTCCTCCTCACATCCCGTCTCCTTCCTGACTCCATGACTCCATGGCCAGATCCTCGAGGTCGTGTCCCGCTCCCCCTCCTCCTCCTCCTCCTATCTCCTCGCATCTCGGCCCTGGCGACTTCCTTGGCGTGGCCGCGTGGGGGAGCTGGGCGCGACAACGGCGGCGCGATGACGCGGCGGCGAGACAGCCTCGACGAGGCGGTGTGGCGGCCACGAGTGCAAGATGCGGTGGCGGCGCGACGGCCTCGAGTGCGAGCCGCGGCTACGGGCCGGCATGGGCACCACCGTGACTAGTGCCATGCCTAGGCCGGGATGCCGGCACAGCGGCACAACGCGGCACGGCACGGCAGCGCTGCCGTGCCCCGTCGTGCCGTGCCACACTGTGCCAGTGTCGTGCCGTGCCCCGTTTGGCCATTTATAACTCCCAAATCCCAGTACGCAAGGGAGCTGCATGCGCTAGCATATAATAGTGTTCTCAACAAGTTGAACTCGTACCCTCTGCGTTCACTATCTGATCTCTGGCATGGAGCTAGAGGAAAAGACGGGCGTTTCCTCAGGTAAGACCGCCAATCCTCGTTGGCCCACAGCAGGCCTCCTTGATTACGTACAGTTGATGACGACAATGATCATGCGTGGAGAAAGAGACATGGTGCATGCATGCTCAAATCATGCATGCATGCATGCATGTTACCTGAAAAATTTTGTCTAGGGCCAGGCCAATTCTATGTCTCCGTCATTCCTTCAGTTGTCGCTTGGCTTCTCAAAGCAGTGCTGATACACCACCAGTGCACCATGCATGAAAGCATGAAGATGTCCAAGAGGGGAGGTGGCTTCTCAGAATAGTGCACATACACCGCCACTGTTCAATGCATGAAAGTATCAAGATGTCCAAAGAGGGGAGGTGGCTTCTCAGAATAGTTCCAGCCCTACACTAGCATGACATAGTTCTATTAATGTAAAACATGAAGTCATTGCACAAATGTAAATGCTCGAAGTAAAAATAGAGTTAAAAACATGGCGATGTTTTCTCGAGGTATTAGAGAATCAGCACTCCCCACTAGTCGTCATTGGAGCACCTGCGCAAGGGTATAGCTTCCCCTTGATCCACGCAAGGATCAAGTGCTCCTCTATGGCCAGATTCTTCGTCACTCCAGCATGGTGTATGGCCCGCAATCTCATAACTTGAGTTGAGTCTCCCCATGATCGCTACCGAGAAATCACCAAAATCCCAATCATCAACAAGCCGTCTAAGTGATGCCAATCACCAAAAGTAACAATCAGAAACTCTCACTTAGCCTAACCAAGTCTAATGAGAAGGGTGGATGCACTCTTGCTACTCTCTAAGCACTAATAGAGCCCTCAATCTAGAATTAGCCAATCGAAATCCCTCCAATAGGCCAAACCTCTCTCTTGGACACAAATAGTTGTATGTGTGTATTCAGAATGCCAAGAGACTAGTCAGGGTGGGCAATCAGTTTAAACCGAAACTTCGGTTTGGCCTTTGGCGTGGGTGTGCGCCGCTGGGGTCTGGCTTGATATGGGCTGTGGGAGCGAGTCGAGGGTGGGATAGTGGGGATGTGTTTTGTTGTAGTGAAATTAGTCCTGCCTTGTTTGTTTTCGGCAAAGGGCCCGTGATCTCCTTTATTTATTTATTTTTTCAGTCGATCTATGGGGTTTCTGATTAACACATACCCTTGAACCGACACCCCCTGAAAATCTATAGTATTTGACTGTCTCTGTTAATACTTTCTGTAGCGGTGGCTGGTGGGTTGCGGCGTCTCGCATGCAAGCTCTCTCTAGATACACCACCGTACCAGCAGGTAGATATATTATTCATGTGGCGAAAGACCTAAGAAACAAAGTCGCTCGAATTATTACTCTTAAGTAGTAGCTAGCCTTTATTTAGACGATACGTGGATGGAGCCAGTGCCCAGCAGCAGACTGAGAACATGTATAAGCAAGCTATAGGTAGGTAGGCCATCGACTCCTAGCCGACGACGGGGGTGACGGCGACCTTGCTGTTGTAGTCATTGTAGACGAAGACGAGGACGCGCTTGTCGTCGTAGCCCGGCGGCACCGGCGTACCCACAGGCCGAAACATGATCTGCACGTCCGGTCGGTCCTTGTGGATCATGGCCTGCGCGTACTGCCCCGGCGCGCCCACCAGCTCCGGCCATGACGTCTTCAGGTCGTCGTCGTTCTTCCTACCCTTCTGCGCCGCCGCCGCCATGTCGTAGCTAGTAGCTGCTGTGTCTAGTGTCTACGGCGTACGCTTGTATGTGTGTAGCTTATTACATGCATGTGCTTGGGCTTTCTTGGCTTGGCTATATATGCATGCCCCTAGCATGTCCATTAATGGGATTATTAACCAGCAGCCCAACACCGCGTTAGTCGCCCTCGCTGGGGTCCATATATTGAGCTCTCAGAACAACACATATCCCCAATCCCCATAGTCATTGATGATGGCAAAAACACCAAAACCATCTGTTTTCAACACTAGTTGTTATCTCTTCTCTGGAGTCTTCATTTATTTTTCTACATCTTTTGATAGATCTAGAATGTTACAATTTGGATCCAAGTACCAATGTGGCCGGTAGTTTGCACCCTTCGAGAGTGAAAGAGATATTATTCTTTTAACTTTATATAGTATTGCACTACTTTTTTTTATTTAGGACCAATGTGGTAGTTTTGTTTACAATTAATTTGGAGACCAAACTACTAATTTTTCATAGTTTTTATTCCAAATTTGTCTTTATTAAAAATATTTTACATGGACTCTTTATTTATTTATATATTTTTATTTTCAATTCGTATGGCAATAAAATTGCTATTTTTCTTAATTTATTATTTCAAAGTTACTATTTATTAGTTGTATTAGGCTTGGACTTTTTGGTTTAATTTAAGGAGTTCGTTCATCATGAAATTCAACCGTATATAGTCTTTCTTATGTTTTTGATTAATTTTATAGATGAGACATTCTTAGAGAATATGGTGGCTCCTTTGAAGCTACGTACTGTAATAAGATAATATATAGTCTCACAATGCTATAATTTTTATAAATGCACTTTTCAAGAAAAAGACTATCCATATATATGATTTTCAAAATTCAAACCAAATAAAGTTATTTTACTCAAAGTTTTAATTGTTTATCTCTAAACCATGTCTAGAACGTCAAGTATTTGCACACCGAAGGGATTATGTAGGACAATACTCAGGTAGTTTACACGCTGACCAAGACCGAAACAATCAATTTGATAATGAGCTAGCTAGTTGCGTTAAATCTAATTGGACCTTGCCCAACGTTATTTCAAGTAAACTAAACAAATTCTAATTAAGGACCATAATTAATAAATGTTATTGCAATAAAAGATTAATCTGATATATCGAAAACTGATCAGAGATTGACTATGTTTAAAATGAGTGGCTATTGTGTGTAGCTGTTGTGAGATTATGAAAGATGAGATATATGTGTGCATACGTATTACTCACATTTCACATGAAATGTGTGCATACGTATAACTCACATTTCAGGTTATTGCTAGAGCCGCACAAGCTCAGGCTCAGGCTCGGGCGGCTAGGCTATAATAACATGAGTTAACTTGTGTGGCGCTAGCAAAGGTTTTGCAGCCCTGAGAGTGAGGACAGACGTGGAAGAGAGTAAAGGAAAGAAATTTGATGCTTCCTGTATTAGGTATACACGTAGATCGTGTTTTATTATTACACCATGGATCGACAAACGTCACCACATACAGGGATATGGGCTAGTGACCGATACATAAACAGATCTGATTTTATTACTTCCGCTCCATGGGTTTATATAGGATCGCATGGATCATCGCCGTATGCCCTAGAGTTGGTAGGGTATAGAGAGGGAGGCTAGCTTACTAGCTAGCTAGCCAAGCACGGGAATCTCCGCGACGTACAAGATGATGATATCCACGAAGACGACGACGCGATTGGGGTCGAAACCCGGCGGCGGGGTCTCGCCGACGTTGAAGAACTCGACGGTGACCTCCGGCCTGTCGTAGCCGATCCTGATCCCAGCGGGGAGCTCCTGCCAGCCCACCACCTCCGGCCACGACGTCTTGCTGTGGTCAGGCGGCGGCAAGTTGTCGTCTCCCTGAAGAAGCCTCCTCACCATCTTTCCTTCTCTGGTCAGCTGCCTCGATCTCTCCTAGCAGGAAGACGTGCAGGCGCTGTCGAGTTTTAGTAACAGAAGGTTGTGACAAACTTGCATTATATATGATCACTGTAACTGTGTACTTAGCAGATAATTGCAAATACATACAGTCGATGATGAGCTATAGCGGTCTCCTATTTATATTTATATATAGGATTATTAATTAGTAAGCACATGCAGCCAATCAAGAAAGCATCGCATAGGCCGTCACTCCTTCCTGTAATAAACGTTGGATTTTGTTGTCACGCTGTGTCCTCGGTTATAGAATCTAAATCAGTGTCAAATGCAAACATACTGTGATCTCTTCGATGCGACATACTCCCCCCATTCCAAATGATAAGTTGTTTTGCGCTTAAATTAAATATATACTATGTCATCCAAATATATAGTGAAAGCAATATATTACAAAACGTCTTATATTAGAAGCAGCTCAATACAACATTTTTTCAGACTAGCACGGGAGTTGGGAAAATATAGTTGCATTACTACTTACACTAACTAATATACGACAGTGGCGAAGTTGGAGCAAACTAGAGGGGATGCGACTCCTTTGTGGGTGCAGTGGGAATAAAGAATTAAAAGACTCTTTGGAAATCTGATAGGGTTATATTATTATCACTTTTAGAAATTTGGAGAAGCTAAAGGCAAATATACAACCTTCAGTGCTAAATGTTGGTCGTTTCAGACTTGTGCAAAGGATCAAGTAAGTAGATCAAATAGCACTGTGCCTTCCATTTATTATGTGTTGGGAAAGATATGACTCTCATTCATTTCTGAGAGTGGTAAGATCTGTAAGAAAAGGTAAGGAAAGGATAAAAGGGTAAAAATGCATAGAATTTTTAATTAACATGACCTACATTTGTTCATAAATCTACCCATCACATAAAAATTGTACCAGACTGCGAATGTATTTTACATGAATCCACATATACAGTAGCAACTAATAAGGGCTTGCCCATGTGCTCCTCAAATGAATCCACTTCTTTCTTGCTATGACAAGGACAGAACCAATGCAAAGCCAAGCATAGATGAACAACTAACCGAAAATACAAGTGAACAAGGTAATAAGAATTTATCTATGAAATGTACTAAGTAAGTGCTAAGAAACTACAAAGAGGGGTGTGTTCTGCTTTACCGGCGTACTTGCACACAAACTGCCAGTGGCCGTGGGCCTCCGCGGCGTGCAGCGCCCACCACTTGTGCAGGTTGCACACGACGCACAGCCGCACAACGACACCTTGCTTCCTACATGAGGGCGCGCACGTGCAGTGGTGGCCGCACTCCTTGAGGCTCCCATCCCGGCCTACAAGCACGGGCCAACTTTGTCGACCTCCAACATCGGCACACATGCACGGGATACTGCCACACTCCACTGCGGCGCATGTGCACCAGCACAGGGCTGATGAGAGGCCATCGATGCTGGGACAGGGCCAAGTGGGGCCTGGCGGCCTGGCGTGCGGTGGAGGCTTCGGTGGCTGAAATTAATCCAGCTGTCGGGGTGGGCTAGGGGGCTGCTACTGCCTTGATAATTTCATCATCGGCGGAGGGGCAACGGGTGGAGCTGCAGATGACTGGATGACCAAAGGGGTGGTGGGATTTGAGGGCTGGAATCGCGAGAGGGTGGGAGGGGATGCGGGAGGTGTGGCGACAGGGAGGTGGTGGTAGCGGTGGACATGGAGAAGCCATGGGCCTCGTGGCGGTGGCACCGGCGGCTGGAGAGACAGGGGTGCGGGAGGCGGCGACCGTAGCCTGATTGAGATATATATATATATATATATATATATATATATATATATATATATATATATATATATATATATATATATATATATATATATAGAGAGAGAGAGAGAGAGAGAGAGAGAGAGAGAGAGAGAGAGAGAGATAGATAGATAGATAGAGAGAGAGAGAGACCAGAGAAGGGGCCTGGAGTTAGGGTTAAGGACTTAGGATAGGAAATGGCGTACGTGTTTGGTTCTGGCAAGTTTCCGACCCAAAAAACGAACAGCGTTTTTTGGGCGCGGATCTACATAGCAGTGACTCGTGTTGGTAAAACACATCACTAATAATTAATGGCGCCTGTTATTAGCGACGTGTCTAGTTTAGAAGAGTCTCTAAGAACTTGTCATTAGTGAGTGAGTGAGAGAGAGAGAGAGAGAGAGAGAGAGAGAGTAGAGAAGGGGCCTGGAGTTAGGGTTAAGGACTTAGGATAGGAGATGGCGTACGTGTTTGGTTCTGGCAAGTTTCCGACCCAAAAAACAAACAGCGTTTTTGGGCGCGGATCTACATAGCAGTGACTCGTGTTGGTAAAACACATGACTAATAATTAATGGCGCATGTTATTAGCGACGTGTCTAGTTTAGAAGAGTCTCTAAGAACTTGTCATTAGTGATGCTGTTTTGTTTTCGGGCAATGGGCGACAATTACTCAGCGACATTGACACGTCTAGTTGGGAAGAGTTTCTGATAACTTGTTATTGGTGGCGCTTTTTGTTTGCTTGCCATGAGCGACAATTAATCAGCAACAAATTTCATTTACCCGTGTCACTATTGTTACACCGGTGATGTGTTTCAATTCCGAATCACTAATTAAGGTGTCTCCTTGGCGAAGTTTTAGCATGCCTTAGTAAGTCTTAATTAACACAAGGAGAAGATCAGTATTAAAACAAGGAGTAGTTGTTAACACAAGCGCTGAGTGCTGTTGACCATGCACCAACTCGATAATAATAAAGGATCCATTACACAATACACATACACATGCATTCCTTATACGATAATACATGTTCACTGATGAATAGCTAGCAATACTCTTTTCTTCCATGATAACCCGCTAGCGGGGATGGATGTAAATAAATATACATGAGCGTAAGTTGTTGTTCTTATCGGGAAAACTGCAGACATATATATGGGCACGATTTGACGATATATATATATATATATATATATATATATATATATATATATATATATATATATATATATATATATTTATTATATATATATATATATATATATATATATATATAAGTAAATAAACCAGGTAAAAAGCATATAGATAGGCTAGCTGGGAGAGGCCAGCTAGCCGATGACAGGAGTCCTGACGACGACGTTCCGGCCGTCGGCGACGATGATGACGCGGTTGGGGTCATAGTCGGTCGGCAGCGGGGTGGTGTCACTGTAGAAGTCAGTCGACACGTCGGGCCTGTCGCTGCTGATCTGGAACGCCGCGTTCAGCGTCACCCACCCCACCACTTCCGGCCACGACGTCTTCTGCTCATCCCCTCTGCTGTCGGCTGCCGCCATCGCCCTCCCCATTTCTACTAGCTAGCTGCTTGAAGAGCTTCTTCAGTTCGGTCTGCTGTTGGATCGATGGGCTCTGCCGCTGGAACACCCTGCAGGTCTTGTGAATTTGTGTGCTGCTTGCTCATCGTATTTATAGTATTACAGGATTGTTAGTGGGCACAATGCATGCAAGTACTCCAGTTACGTACTCGGTCAAAGCTAAGATGTGAGATGGATTATCTTGGATGAGATCGATGAGCTTCATCGCGTGCATCGCCCGCGTTTGGTCGCATGCAGGCATGCACTCCACGTCTCCACGTGTACGCACCTTAGCTTGTTGTCCATTGGCTCCTGCCTTGCTTGATGACGATGTTTTCCAGGTGGTATATAGCTAGCAGACGAATATGTATATATACTTCTGGATATAGACAAAGCCGGCCGGAATTAGTCAGCACGTACAACCATACTCATCCGCGTGTCTTCCTTTTCAGAGAGAACCCTGCATTGTTTCCAGTGACAGGCTAAGGGCCAAAACAGCTTCAGTCGTTGCTATGTCTGTCGAGCAGATTCATCTGAGGAGCTAAAACAGTTTTTTTTGAACCGTTTAGCAAAACAGCTTCTTCTGGTAGTCTAAAAGGTTGAAATATCCCTTATACCCTTTTTTTTCTTTTTTCTTTTTTCTTTCTTTTTTTCTTTTTTCCTTATTGTTTCTTCCCTTATTCTCTCCTCGCTTTTTATCTGCACCAGACCGCACGCCTTGGCCTTATCGCCCCCATCTCAACCGCCCTTCTTTTTTTTCTTTTTTTCTTTCTTTCTTTCTTTCTTTTATTTTCTAACTTTTCTCTTCTCTGTTATCCTCTTCACATCACCGCGTCCGTTCAACGCAGTACGCAGCGCCCCGCCGCCCCGCCCTGCGTTCATCGGCCACCGGGTGACTCCGCCCCCCCCAGCCACTCCGTCGCTTGCACCTGTGGTTTCGCCGCGCTTTCGCACGCCCGGCAGTCCGGCAGCTCAAGATCTCGACGGAGCCGCTTAATTTCGTCGGTTTTGCGGCTCTCGCGACGTAGCGCCTCGTGACTGGTGGCACTGGGCGACCCGTGCCCGCACGGCTCGGTGAAGCAAATCTGCCTAACGCTTCATGGCTGGACCCACGGCACCTTGCGGAGCCGGTTGAAGCTCGTTTTTCTGGCTCCGGTTCCCTCTAAACTTTAACACTTAACTTGTGCCCATTTCATTATAGAGCGTGTCTCGTCATGACTCTCAGTACCGTTAGATTAACAGCTACAATGCACCTTTCTATTTTGAAATATATTCTCAGCTTATTATGGGCCCTAAGTATTCAGAATCATAGGCTGTACTATAAAACCCATGTCGACTGTCTGTTCTCTGAACGCACTGGGTGATAAGCCTTTGGTAAGCGGATCTCGATACTCATATGCTCAAATGCTTTTATAATGATTCTGGATTTTCTCCTTTCCAACATATGCGGATCTCGACCCTTCCTAGTGTACTGAAAGCTATGCTGTTACATTGGATACTGATCAAGCCGACTTGTGGTGTTGGCTAGGGGGCCTATGCCCGGGCTGCCGCGGGCGACGCTGCTTGCACGCACCCATGTCACTGTCCGGTGGGAACAACTCAAGTACCGTCTGCATATTACTGGTGTCACCGCCATAGATT